TTTCCCAGAAAAGGACTGGCTTGTAGAGGCTCTCGGTGTCCTCTGCTTCTAACTGCAAACCTTCACCAGCCGGGCTCACAGGGAGAAAGGGGGGCAGGTGCACAGGGCAAAGGGGGGCAGGTGCACGGGGAAAGGAGAGAGGGGGGCAGGTGCACAGGGAGAGGAGGGGGGGCAGGACTGAGTGAGCTCCAATGGAGATGGAGGAGTGGTCAGAAGGACCCGTTCAGGGTAAGTGGTGATGGGAAGAGACTTGAACACAATACCATGTACAGACGATACTTTAGAATTCTACACCGTCAACAAATAGATCACCATTAACCACTGTCACCCCGATCAATTTCATAAACAGAAACCTTCTCCCCAATGTCCTGCTGCTGTACCAACACCCTGGCCTGTTCCCATCGCCCTTTACCTCGGCATACGCCTCAATCCCCAGTCGGATGACTTCCCGCATGCTGGCCAGCATCATCTGCTCCACCTGCTGCAGCCACTTCTCCACCATGCCCTGCGCGAGACGGGCAGGGGTCAGCCCCGGGGCGGAGGCCGCAGCAGAGCCAGCGTCCCCCCTGAACAGGCTGGAGGGAGACAGGGTTTGCTTTGCTCCCCTGGGGTTCAGAACCAGCCACCGCAAGATGTGCCTCATGGTGTGTGGCTTATTTTTTTTAATATATTTTATTGATTTTTTTTACAGAGAGGAAGGGAAAGGGATAGAGAGCTAGAAACATGGATGAGAGAGAAACATCGGTCAGCCGCCTCCTGCACACCTGCTACTGGGGATGTGCCTGCAACCAAGGTACATGCCCTTGACCGGAATCGAACCTGGGACCTTTCAGTCCGCAGGCCGACGCTATCCACTGAGCCAAACCAGTCAGGGCTGGTGTGTGACTTATTTTGAGCTAAAGGCAAGATCCTGCAAGTTCAGGAGAAACTTCTGCCCCCTACCTTAATTATCTAGAATTTAAATCAGGAGCCTGGCCCGGATGAGGATTGCCAGCAATGACTTCTTCCCTCGCTCTGCGGCTGGGCAAGCTGCCCGTTACCGACCTCCTGCAGCCCGAGGCACCCACCTCATCCCTAGCGCAGAACCTCCAGTGGGCCTGTCCCCACACTGTCTCCGAGCCTCTCACATACGTGGGCTCTCTGACTCTCACACGTGGGCTTAGATTTGATTATTTTCTCCTCTTAATCTAGCTTATGTTTATTTGATTACAGACCAGCTGACATAACCTTGAGGGTAGAGGAAACCTTCCCCCCACACTCCCCTTTGAGCCAATATTCTTTAACTATTTGTTTTATGTTATTTCCTGTGTTCTCGGAAGTGTGTGTCTTGTAAAAGGTGCAATAAGGGGTTTTAACATGCATTTCTCTCATATCATTTTCTGAAACAGTAACGTCTCAGGAGGAAATGGCATTTCTATTTCAGTTAATAAAGTAAACTGATTTCTAATGAACAGTTTTAGTTGTTTCCTTATTCCTGTGGTTCCCAAACTTGCTGTGCCCTGGGATGATCTGGAGACCGGAAAACCCAAACCCAAACCAGGCACAGAGGCCTGCCTCCTGCCCCCAGCGGGCTCCAGGGTGGGACCTGGGATGGAACTTGGGCATCTGGTTTCCTTCAAAGCCCCACAGGTAACTAACATGCAGCCAGTCGCCGGGTCCCACAATTCCCGCCCATGGCTGCGGCTGCGCTGCTGAGCTGGCTGGGTTCGGGTGGCGAGGGTGCCCCAGGCCATGCGCGCGCTGTCCGTCCGGCAGGAGCGGAAGCGGGTCACACTTACTCCGTGTACAGGACACGTGCATGAAGCTCAGCGTTAAGTGGCATTGATTCCACGCTTCACTGAGCTTTGAAGACACCTGCCCGGCCAGCTGTCTAACTGAGTTACTTTGAACCGGGCTCTGCTCATGGAAATCTGAACGCATCCGTCTGGATCTGACTCCTGCGCCCGCCTCCACATCACCTCTGGGTAAACCCTCCCACAGCTCAGTGTGCACACGAGGCATATACTCCCCAGCGCAGAGACGGGCACACGGGGCTCTGGAAGGTGGCTCACTCCCGTCCCCAGTCATCAAGCTGTGGAGCCCCGTGTCCCCCCAGGGACCGAGCCAGGTCCGCAGGCCGAAGCAGTGGCTGCCTCTGCTCTGCTCGCTGCGAGGAAAGAGCGAGCATGGGAGGGGACTTGCCTTGGCTTGAGCCGGGTAGATGATCTGTTTGAAGGGGACGGTTTCCTTCTCCGAGCTGATCATGCCCACGATCTCCAAGTTGTCGGTGAACTCCAGCCGGGCGATGCCCTCGAAGCACTTCTTCAGGTGCGGCTGCACGCGGAGCGGGTCCTTGGTCTCCGACAGGATCTCCAGCAGCTCGTCGTTCGACAGGAAGAAGAACCTGTTTCAGAGCAAGGAGCAGGCAACTGAATCCCTTCCCAGACTCATTTCCCACAGGCTCTGCTCCCCACAGGGAGGGGGCCCGCAGACCGCTGTGCCGGGTCTTCCCTGAGGACACTCCTGTACCAGGTCCAGCTGCAGCAGGGAGGACGGGGAGGAGCTAGACTCTGAGAGCAAGAGAAACCACGAGGCGAGGCCGAGGCCGGAATATCTGCGTTCAACAGGGCGGGGCTGGGGGCTTCCTCATCTCTGGCCTTGTTCTGAAATTCTAATGCCGAGACTCTACTGCAAAGATTCATATAGAACTGACCTGGGTTGGGTCTGAGAATCTACATATTTTAAAACCCCAGGGAGGGGCAGGTAGAAGAGGCTGTAGAGGGGAGATAGAGAAGTGGAGACAGAATGAGACTGGACTTTGGGTGGTGAACACACAATACAATACACAGATGATGGCTATAGAATTGCACACCTGAAGCCTATATAATGTTACTAACCACTGTCACCCGACACATTCAATTACAAAGTAAAAATAAACCCCCGGTGACTCCTGCGCAGTCAATGCTGAGAGCCCCTCGGGAGGAGACAGGCTCTCTGTCCTTTCCTCATCTCCAGGCGTGACGGGCGTAGAAGGGAAGCACATGTTAATAACGCACTTACTTCATGCAGCGCCTTTATCTTGTTTGAAATGACAAATAATAACCCCTGGCCAGTGTGCTCAGTGGTTAGAGCATTGGCCTGCCCACTGAAGGGTCTTGGGTTCGATTTCTGGTCAAGGGCATGTACCTGGGTTGTGGTTTGTTCCCTGAGCCCCCGGGAGGCAGCCTCGGTCTTCTCTCTCTCTCTCTCTCTTCTCTCTCTTCTGCCTCCCTCCCTACCTTCCTTCCACTCTCTCTGAAAAGCAATGGAAAAAAATATACTCATGTGAGGATTAAAAATAGAATTTTTTAAAATGTACAAATAATACAATCGCTTCATTCTCTTGCTTAGGCCTAAAGGCAGCCACCACAAACCTTCAGAAAATGTTCAAGGAACAAATCTCTACAGTGACCAGTAGGCTGAAAGGTGCATAATTAAGGAACCATATGATTAGCGTCTTCACTGTATAGGATGGATTACAAAAATGGCCACAATATTTGCACCTAACCTCATGCTGAGTGCTTAAATTTTATTCCATAAAAAGGCATACAGAAATACTGAGATGTGTGTGCATTTCACTTAGAAAGAAAATGAGCTCAGAGAAGGTAATATCTCCTCCAGACCACCCTGCAATTGAATGCTAGCTTTCCACCTCCCAGTACTATGTTTTTTGGCAAGTTATCGTTCCCCCCTTATAGT